GGCAGACCTTTCCTGACCTGCCCCCTGCTCCCCTCAGCAGTGTACTTAGTCTATCTGCCTGTTCTGCCCTCCACTCTGTCTCTGGTGAGTCCTCTCACCCTCCACACTCTGGCTGTACCCCAGTTCTGTATGAATAAATGAATAAATCTTTAAAAAATTTTATTTATTTATGCATACAGAACTGGGGTACAGGCCAGAGGTGAAGGGGCAGAGTGGGGAGCAGAACAAGCAGATTGACAAAGTACACTGCTAAGGGGAGCAGCCGATGAGACAGGAGAGTTCTGCTGTGCCATGTGGGTCACCTCCTGAGCTGGGGATCGAACTCATACTGAAGTGGCACTGGCTTGCAGTGCTGCGTCCTAATCTGTTGTGCCATCAGGGAGAGCCTGTTAAGTAATTATTTTAATATTCTTCTAATTTTTTAAAACATGACTTCCTTTAGTCCTTTGGGCATGTTTTTAATAAGTACTTTATAAATTCTTTCTCTGCAAAGCCAACATCTGAGCTTACTCAGAGACAGTTTCTACTTTCTACTTCCTTCCCTTCTCCCCTCCTCCCCCCAGTATAGGCTATACTTGCTTGCTATTTTGTTATGCTCATAATTCTGATATTGAAAACTGGACATTTTAAATAAAATTGAATAGCAAAGCTGGCTTGTGATAGTTTGTTGTCACTGTTTTTGTTTAATAACTTGCCTGGCCCACATTAGTGGATCTGTTTACCTTCTGCTGCGTTCTCACTGATGTGTCTGACTTTTCAGAGGTCACCCTTTTGTCTGCATAGCTCAGTGGTCAGCCCTTGACTGACCTGATCAGAGGTTGTGGTCTGATAACACAGCCAGTAAGTCTTCTGTTCTCTGCTAATAGATATATGTGTGGTTTGGAAAGCACGTTTACATTTCAGGCAGTGTTCAAGTCTGCTTTGCTTTTTTACCTTCCAGTGGCCTCTGTTGTGTGTCCTTTTTGTATGCTGCACCTTCTGGTTGGCCAGAGACAGATGGAGAGCTGCTGTGTATATCTAAGTCTCTTTTAAATTACTGACAAGTTCTTGATCCATTGATGTATAAAGAAAAATATACAGAGTAATCATAATTATACAATCGTATGAACCCACTTTTATTTTTTAAAAAGATTTATTCATTTATGCATACAAGAACTGGGATACAGGCCAGAGGTGGAGGGGGAGGGGGAGAAGATTCACAAGTGACAGAGTGGGGAGCAGAGCAGGAAGATCTACTGAAATACACTGCTGAGGGGAGAAGTGGCGAGACAGAAGAGATCTGCCACACCATGTGGGTCAGCTCCCTGGCTGGGGATCTTACTCGTGATGCAGTGGCTGGCAATAGCTTCATAGTGCTGTGCTTAACCCTTTTGCAACACCAGTGAGGGCCTCAGGAACCACTTTTAACATATGGGTATACATGCTTCCAGATATTTTTTATGCACATCCTCTCTCCTCCATAGTCTTCATTTAAGAAACACAAAATGAGTGCTTATTAAGTTAAGTATCAGTATAATGTCAGGTGCTATTTTCAACAAACTGAGAGCTAACTTTTCCTTCAACAGAAGAACAGTGGAAATCCAGTCCTAGACAGATTAATTTAATAGGCTCAATTCTTATAATAGTATGTAATTCTGAGTGAAATTACCTGGGACAGAAGTGGAGATGGAAAAGGAGAAGGAAGAGCCCATATTTAGGGGGAAAAAAAGACACAGTCTAAAATTATAAGCTAAAGAGAGAAAATCCACATCCATTAAATTTCAAGGCTGGACTTTGAGCCAGAGTCTAAGAACAAGTCAAAGGCAATGTATTCACTATCAATGCCAGGAAAGACAGGGGAATTTGAGGCTCACAGCCTAGATTTAGGCCACAATTTCAATTCTTACCATGGCTGTATGACCTTTGTCAAATGATTTCCTTAGTCTAAGTATCCTTAGTCTCACTATCCCTTTTCTACAAAATGCAAGGATCAAACATCATGACCAGGTGGGATTTATTCCAAGGATGTAAGGATGGTTTGACATATGCAAATCAATCAATGCAATTCATCACATCAACAAAAGGAAAGAATCATACGGGCATATTAATTGATGCAGAGAAAGTATTTGACAAGATTCAACATTCATTTATGATAAAAACTCTTAATAAAATGGAGATAGAAATAAATAACTTGTCATGATAAAGGCTTTCTCTTGGGCATCCCTGGTGGTGCATGGGGTTAAGCATAGCACTGTGAAGCTATCCACAGCTACTGCAGTACAAGTTCAACTCCTGGCCAAGAAACTGATCCACATGATGCAGCAGACCTCTCCTGTCTTGCTCGCTGCTCCCCTCAGCAGTGTATTTCAGACTTGCCTGTTCTGTTCCCCACTCTGTCTCTGGTGAATCCTGTTACTCCCTGTGCCTCTGGCCTATACTCCAGTTCTTGTATGCATGAATAAGTAAATCTTTTTTTTTT